CAAAAAATCTTTAGCAACTTGATGAAGATAATGTCTTCGGCTTTAGATAACCACAAAATCTCCAGCAAATCGAGAACAAAGCATTAGTCGTGAATCAACATTTCAAGAAAATTTGTTTCAAAGTAATAAAATTTCATTTATTTTGATAAATTATTATATAATATATACTTATATAAATAGCTGAATATGTTACTGAAACAGTTGCCAACAGAATACATAATCGTCAACGCAAACGCACCAAAACATCCTTTAAATAATAACTAAAAAACTTCAATCAGCTAACAGATATTTTGCTATAATCAGATATTTATGCTTCTATTTCATCTTTTTTTTTAGCTTTTTGTTTAATAAAAGATAAAACTATCCAAAGTTTATTGCTTTTTTTTCTATTCATTGAACAAAATGGGATAAATTATTATGATTTTTTTTGAGTTATAGATTTTATCTTATTTATTATTATAAACTCCTTAGAAGCGATATACTTTATGTCGCAATCACCGTATCAAAAAAAATATGATGCATTATTAAGTCAATTCTTGAACAGTGGTAATGCGATGGAGGAAAATGAAGGCGAACAGATGAAACAGTGGCTTGAAGATGCTGCTAATAGATTACGAAGTTAATTCCAAAATCACCGAGGTGAGACAACAGATAAATTTGTTCAGATTGGTATAAAATGCATTTATGTAGGTAATGATGAACAAATTAACAGTGCTGCAAATGAAAAAAAGCATGGACCAACTGTACAGATAAATGCGAGGCTGTCATGTGTGCATCATCGCCAAGTGATTTGACCGATGAAGAATCATATGAAGAAAAGAAAAAAGTGCTTGTTTCTTTGTGCTTTTAATAACGATGTTGGAACTATGTTTGATTTATTGTAGATCGAAAAGCGTTCACGCGAGATCTTTCTCTCCGACATCAATATGCCATTAGCAAAACGATTAAACGCAAAGCAGTCATTTTTAGATGAAGTTTTAGATTTGAATATGATATCTCTCTCATCTGGTTCGACAAATAAAAACATGGATAGTCAAGCAACTGATGTAGCTCGTCAAATGTCTGCTATATCTGCTTACCAATTGAATATTCAAAATTCTCAATCGAGTTTAGGACAAACAAATGCAACAGATGTTATTGGAAAACCAAGATCTACAAATACATCAGCCATCTCGAAGCAATTAATGGATCTACCAAAATATACTAACACCATAATAGAACAGCAAATACTCACGTCACAATCAATACCTCACGCTAATGCTAATAATTCAACTTGTATATGGCCAATAGGAGTTTCTTATCAACCTGATTTCATTGAAATCGTTATTACTGATGATGAAATGAATGCCTATTGCGACATGATAAAAGATTTTTTTTGAACGCTTTTTTAAAATAAGACTTCTGATGCCATTCTTTTAAAAAGAGTTTATAAAAGAAAAGCTAATATAAAAAAGTTTGTGTTTTAGATTCAGATATTGAATATGGACAAACCTTCTAGTCGAACTAGTCCAGAAGAAATGAAAATATTGACTGAACTGTACGAAAAATTTCATCCTCAAGAATTACATTTTTTGATTGAATTAAATGAATGTTGGTCCAAGTATGATCCAAATCGAATTCAAAACATGACCGCCATCTTGAGACAAACGTTTGCTTCTGAACACAAGGAATCAGGTACAGAATGGATAATAACATATTTTAATACCGAAAACTGTATTCGTCTTTTTCCAGCAATAACGGTCAATATGGCTCTTGTTCAGAGAGATCAAACAGTTCATCTAAATTCATGTCAATCAATATGTCCAATTTGTTCATCAACACTTACAGCTGAAATGGCAGATGTTTTATCTGTTCAAGTTTATACTCTTAAGGGTAAAATAGATAAGGGTAAAAAAATTTCTCACAAAGGTTTCAAACTAACATTGAATTCTTTTGCAGGTAAAGTTTTTTCTGTAGCGTATAGACATATCAACACTACTTTCAATATGCATCCTATAGTTCACGTCTTTCCAAATTATTTTCGACAAGAAAAAATAAGCACGTTTACATCAAAAAGTTTACAAAATGGTGATATGGTATATTTTGGTGGTAGACAAGTCTTTGAACGAACGTTAATAGAAAATTACACCTGTCAATTATTAGGTAGAGCTAGTTCATGGCAGAAATTTGTTGATGGACTTAATTTAGGTGCATTTAATTCAAACTTGACTGACACGAAAGTTGAGTGGCGAAAGAAGTTGGCAATGGCATTTATTAAATATAAAATAATTGAGCTTGACTTATCTATTGGTTCACCAGTAGTTTCAATACCAAGCACAACCTCTGAATTTGATGAATGGATGTGGAACCAGTTTCCACGTCTTCTTTCATCATTTGTTTATCTATGGAGTAATCATAGGACTTTAATTGGTGCTTGTGCACCCAATTGTAGTCAATGTATAGACATAGATGGACATCAGAAATGTCGACGACGTATTTGCCGTGCCAAACACGTACATATTTCAACCGAAGAATTTACTTCATTAACTATTGGATGTTGCCGAACTCCACTTCTTGGTTCACATTTTTGTGATTTGCATCAAAGCGTACAGGAGAAAAATGATAGTTCATCTGCACCATCGAAACAAAGAACTAACAAAAGCCGAAGGTTGATACAGAAAATAGTGGAGAAAATATCGACAACGTGGATTTGGGGCGACAAATTGTCGAACAATAAAAGAACAATCGGAAAAATATATTGAAAGATGCAGTCGATCATTTGGTATTCTTGCAGTCGTAACAAACTGTAAAATTATTGTTTCGTATGCAGAAATCTTTAGATCGGAAACATTACGTGAAATAATAAGTCTTCTTTGTTCGACAATTCGAGGTGAGTTAGTTTTAAAATATGAAAACCATAGAAATTTAAATGAACACTCATAGACATTACATTAGGTATTGTGTAGAATATTTGCAAAAAGTACAGTAAATAGTAAGAAATTTTATTTGTAGATATGATATTCTATGCAATATTATAGCCACTATATAAATCACTTTACCCAAGAGAGAAAATCGAATATAGATTACAAATTTTGCCACATAATGTTATTAACCTAATTATTTATTTTCTTCTTAGCATCTGACTTCAACTTTCCCAAGTGTGGCATTTATAATGATGGTTGTCATCTTGTGGAGTTCATTCGAAACCATTTTGATGAAGATCTACTATACACTTCGGCATCAAAACTGCTATATGAAACAAGATTCAGTGTTGATAAAACCCATTTTAAAGGGCATGTGGGAAAATGGTGCAGAGCTCATATGAACCCA